CCAATAGTACATACTTATAAATATTACAATTTTGTTACCAACAAAAGACCTATCGTTTTAATTTTATATTTTTACTGAGGAATTATATATTGCAACACTCAAAACCCCTCCATACCTCTTTAGCTAAAACATATTTGGTGTTTTTTATTCCTCATAATGTCAAATAATTTATAGAACCGCCCATACAATTAGTGTTATAAATGCTTTATTTTCTGGTGAAGGTATGAAGTTAAAGAGTTGAGACACATATGCACCCAAATTTGGATTTTACTAATAAATTCATGAAACAAAAATCTTTAACTTTTGGTGATAGGACCTGCCCAAACCAGCAATTCATTACACGTGTCCCACATATCACGGTATTTTTTTATTTTTTATATTGTAAAAAAATCATAGAACCTCCCAATTTCAACCTAGATTCTGATTCTATATATTTTAAAATAGTTATTGGCAAATTTAAATATTAAAAAAAAATTCAATTCATACTTAAAATTTAACTCAACTTTAATTCAACTCGACTATTCCCAATATATTATCAATATTATTAAATAATATCAACAAATCATTCTTACACATAATATCAATTTTAATTTATTATTCATCAACTCACATAATTTTAATTAACTATCACTTCACATTCTCTCTCTCATACCTTTACATCAAATCAATTTATTTTAAATATTATTTTAATATAATATCAAAATCCCACTAACAACTAATCATATTATTATTTTCAAAATTAACTTTGATTAACTGAAAAAAAATCAATTTGAGCGGAAATATTCGTATACAAACACACCCTAAAGATTTTTAAGAACACAACCTCTACATTTTATAACAATTAGGCCACACATACTGTTTTCATAATATAAACTTTTTTGTAAGTAATTTAATCGTTAGACAAGTCACCCCATCATATATTTTTTTTAATAAAATGTATGCATATATTATTAAATGACATATTATTTTCAGTGTATAAATATTTGTTCAAAAAATATGACTTTCTAATTGTTAGATTTTTCTAACAATAACTTCACCACTTCCACAGTTATACAATAATTTAATTAGAAAACGACATTTTTAAAAAAACAACATAAATAAAAATATAACATTCAATATAGATGTACATTTTCCTTCATAGAGTATGAGGATTCTACGCACCTAAAAATTTAGGGGATTGTATTCAATTGTGATATATAAAGATTTTTTAAGACTTTAGAAATCCTGGTGCATTCAATTTAGATTTGTTACTTTTTAAGACTTTTAAAAATGTTGAGGTATTCAATTGAGATTTTAAGAAGTCTTACAAAATTTTGAGGTATTTATTTGACATTAGAATTTGTTAAGACTTTTTAAAATTTAGTAGAATATTTAAACTTAAGATTTCACATAATTTTTCCAAAATATGAAAACTTAAAATTAAAAAATTTTAAAATGTCATTTAAAATCTCAATTGAATGCACTCCCATAAGTCGTATCCAAAAAAAGTATATATCTTCTATTTATATTATTTTTTTTCAAATTCATAAATAAATAACATTTTCAGCTTTACATATTCTTTTCCACTCACTCGTGGCAAACTTCAATAAATTTTATTGAGCTAGCAATTAATATTAATAATAATTCATTTAATAAAAATAGGTGTTCATTTAATAAAAATATGTTCACCGTTTTAAAAAATATGTAACTTTCAGTTACACGATTTATTTTGACATGTTTCATTCTGGATGGTGCCCATTTCTGTAACACCTTTTTATGTCAAATATAAAATATTTTTGTTTTTATTTTGATACTATATATATGTTGGTATTATATAAATACATATTTCACAACTAAAAGAATGACTACAAATATCTCTATTTTGATACAATTTAAAATCATTATATAACTTATATTTTTAATATTATATGCATATAAATAACTTATAATATTTTAATTATATATGTGCAAATGAATATGATCGAATACTAATTGATGATTACACTTAGTTATTGTACTAATTGATAAAAATCCAATGTTAGGTTTCTTTTTGTGTCTTAAATTACAGTCCCCCAACTGTATTTATCCTGTTTGTGCTTTTCAGCTGACGCCAAAGTTTAAGCAGATTGGACTTTGGGTTTTCAAGTCCGGGCCTCTGATTCGCGGATGCCAAAACCCACATCTCTATCGACTTTTTCTAATATATCACCCGACCGGTTACCGGTTGGCTTTTAATCTCAAATTATATTATTACTATTATTATTATATACCATTATTATTATTATTATTATTATTATTATTATTATTATTGCTATTATCGTTATTATTTATGTGTCATTAGAAAAAAAAAACTACTCTTATTTCTTGAGGGAAAAATTGCATTTTCTCGGTTAAATAAATTAGTGCAAGTTGAACTCAAACTTCTAATATTTAAGTTCGGACTCTAGTCATTATTGAGTCGAGATGATAAATAAAAAAATCTATAGGTATGATGGGCTGGTTAACTAAAAATATGAATAATTGGAAAAATAATTTTACAAAAAATGTAAATACTCAAAATTTGTTTAAGAGTCCGTTAGTCAAATTTATACTGGTCCGTGTAATTACTGGTCAGGCCGCATGCTTGTTACACTTTTTGACTTCTGTATTTTTATTTAATTCACTAGCTAACTAAGTAGAAAATACATATTAAACTTACTGAGTTATTTAAACTATCACATATCTTAAAAATTATCGCACGGTATTTTTGTGTGCGTGTGTGTGATTTATATGCTACGTTTTCTCTATTTGTTCAAATAATTATTTGGATTAGTGATGAATTTTCTTCAGTTATCCAATTTATTGAATAACTCATATTTATTAGCTCTTCAATTGAATAATATTTAGCAGGGATATGATATTTCTGTATTTAAAAAATAAAAAATATATTTTTCGTCTTTTGACTTTTTTTCTCCAAAACAAAGTCATTACTCATTGATATTAATAATGATTTTTGAATATTGATACGTATCATTTGGGATTTTGTTTGATTCTTTAATCTAGTAGCTTATGAAGTTTTTTGTAAAGTAAAATTTAAATTACAGAGACTAAATCAAGAACATTTGACATAACTAAGATTCCATGGGACTAACATAATATTTTTTTAAACCAAGTGCGAGAACTCTATACGCAGTCGTCAAAAAATATAGTAATTGTTTTTTTCTAAGAGACATAAAACCGTGGAAGAATATTAAAAAAATTGCATTATAATATATCAACCTTTTAAATGCTTGTATAAAAGATTATCTGATATCTGAATAATTTGTTTGTTGTCGATTTTTGAAACAATACTTTTCAGCAATTTAACTATAATTGGGGTATATTTTGTTATAAATAATTAGGTGAAAAATCATTCTTCAATATTCTTTTAATGTGAATAAATAATGTTATTCTACCTAAATAATATAGTTTATAAAACAACATAAATAAAGTACAGCTGTGATTAGATGTTATTATTGTTGTTACATTTAATTTTTTTTTAAAATAAAAAATATATTTGAAATTCTTAAATAAATAATAAATAATTCACAAATAAAAGACGTACCAAAATATACATTACATCCAATCAGATAAACGCAATTTAAAAAAAAAATATTCCAACTCTTTTAATTGTAAATTTGGTCTGCAAAAAAGTGAAAGAAAAATAATTAATCATTATATGCATACAGACTCACAATAATTTATTTATATCTGTGCAAATGCACAGGTCAAATACTAGTTACATTACATATGCAATAAATACACATAAATATTTAGATTTATTAAATTTCATATTAATTTATACTCGCTCTGTGGCAGCCCTACGGTCTCATTTCATAATTTTCTCGATGTTACATTTTGTAGGCTCATTTAGTAGTAGTTTTATGACTCTTTACCCAATTTGCTATAAAACTAATAATGAAACATTTTCGTCAAATATTTAAATAGTACGTACAATGATCATGGGAGCTTTACCATGAAAAATGAAATTGAAGTAAAAATTATGTAATCACATATCATTTTTTTTTTCATATTTTTACTTGTGTTGTCAACTTAGTTGTACACTAGGTTGGCAATGTATCATTTTTCAAAATACTATGTACACTTTAATTTAAAAAAGAAAATAAATTTTAATTTCATAATTTGAGAAAAAAAAAATAAAATAAATGAGACCACAACTCAACTCGCTATTATATTCAACGGTGTTGACCTAAAGCAAACTGATGTGTTAATCAGTGGATCCAAGGTAACTTTGGCACTGTAATTTAGTGGTACAAATATAAAACAACATGTCATTCATAGCTTATAAACTTACACATATTTAAATATGCTGTACAGAAATAGATTATGAATTGTGCTCACAAATATACAGATTTTTACAGACACGACCTAAGAATTTTGATGTTATCGACCCACTCGCTAGTTTAATTTTGCAATTACCGATAAATACTCTCTTTAATTACGTTGTTATAAATCACTTTGTGTTATAAATAGAACAAAAGTATACTTATAAAACACTATTTTTTCTCCCTCACTCCACTAACTATAAAGAAACAAATATAGTTATAAATATTAAAAGATAGTGACTTATCTACAATTTTCTTCGCATGCATAGAAAAAACAGATAGTGACCTTTGGGCTTTCAGAGTTAGATAATGGATTAATGACTCCAATTTATCACGATATTTAACTTACACAAAAATTATTTATTTAACTATGCTAGAACAAGGAGAACCAAAAGAAAATAAAGGAAAAAGAACAGAACTCTTTATTACAAGAGAGGGAAAAAAGAGGGAGAAGAGAGAGAGAGAGAGAACATAGGAAATGGCGAAGAAAAAAAGAGAGGAGAACAAGAATTTCCCTATGTTCATGTTGTCATAACTTTCTCAACCCTCTCTCTCTCTCTAGATCTGTAAATCAAACCTGCCCATATAAATAAAGCCGCTCAATCTAACAATTTCTCTGCAAAATGAGTTGAAAAGATTGTGTGGGCATATTAAAGATTGAAGCTTCTTTTTGCCTTCGCTGCTGCTGCTGGTGGTAGCGGTGGGCGCAGTGTAATTTTCTTGATTCTGATATTAGGTGGTGAGAAAGTTAGTTTTTTTTATTTGTTTGTTTGTTCAATTTGTATCTGCTGAGACTTCTGCTTGTGTATGTTTTGAGCTGGGAGTTTGTGTTTTGGGCATGTAATAGTTTGTGGTATGTATGCAGTGGTGTATATGTTTTGTGAGTTATAAAGTTTCGATCTTGATGTTTGTTTGCTTTGTCTGTGTTTTGAGAAATTGATTGAGGTATGGGTATTTTGACTTTGAGCTATTGGGCATGCATGATGTAGAGCTTCTGAGTGTTCTTGGCCTTTCTTTTTTTTTTTCATTTTTTTTCTCTTTAATGTGAATAATATTTTTAAAACCTCGCATGTATTGGGAAATTGGTGAAAGAATTGAATACATGCTACTATAATTTTGGCATGTTGATTATAAAGCTCTTCTTTATGGAATTTTTGGTTTTCTGTTCTCACTGTACCTTCCTATGGAAACTTCTTTAGTATTGTGATTTGTGAATTGGTGAATGATAAAATTTGTTCACAATTTTAGTAATAAAATTATGAAATGAGGATACTTTATTTATTTTGTCTTTCTTTTGGAGGATCCATAGTGATGCTTGTATGGTTGCCAAAGTAAATAAATTGGTCTGTTTGTTTGCATGTTCTCTCTTTTTACCTCATTCACTAGATCTGTGAATAGATACCATGTATGTTTATAGCTTCCAAAAGTATCTTTTGCTTGTCTTGATTGTCGAACGATATGTATTCGAGTTTCAAAATCGATAACTCAGGTCATTGCTTTTACCCTTCTAAAATTTACATGTATATGTTGTCAAATATTGTTGTTGGATTTTATGGTCATCTGCTGTGTGAATTTAGCCCCCCCTCTGTTCAGTTCATCATCAATAAAAAGGAAAAACTATTATTTCCTTACCAAGTATATTCTCTTTTATCCTAGGAGATGAGCTTCTTTGAGCCATAAATTTCAGATCACTCTAATTTGGACATTCTTAATCAATTCTCCTGTATATCTGCTGTCTTTTGCTTCCTTTTTTTTCTTCACAATCTGACACTTGTCTTTGCCCCATTCAGGTACTACTATTTATTTTCTCAAACACCGGCCGCGTGTCCAAGTTCGACTCGTCAAAAGCATCCGAAATATCCGGCCGCACAATCTACTCATTATTTCCCGACAAAAACATACGACAAACAATCCAACACAATAAAGACATGAACTCGAACCTTCCAAACATCCAAACCGAAGAAGATTCCTTGGGCAGCTTGCTCGAGCTCGCTGCCAACAATGACCTGCCGGCATTCAAAGACCTCGTCGATCGCCACCCGTCCATTATCGACTCCGTGGGCCCTTGGTACAGCCGTCAAAAAGGCTCCAGCCAGATGGCATTACACCATTTGACCCCACTAATGGTTGCCGCCACTTACGGAAGCCTCGACGTTCTAAAACTCATCGTCTCATCCCCAGAAGTCGACGTGAATCGCCACTGTGGGCCCGACAAAAGCACCGCCCTTCACTGCGCTGCCTCCGGCGGGTCCCCCGACTCTCCGGCAGCCGTCCGGCTGCTTCTGGCTGCCGGAGCCGACCCCAACCTGACGGATGCCGATGGTCGCCGCCCGATCGACGTTATCTTCGTTCCACCGAAATCGCACGGCACGAAATGCACTCTCCAACTGCTGCTAGCGACCGATGACGAGGAAAACGAACCCGAAGGCCCGAACTCGCCGGTGGCGGAGGATGTGGACGACAAATCGGGCCGGGCCCAAACGCCTGGCCCGGAGAGGAAAGAGTACCCTGTCGACCCTTCCTTACCCGACATCAAGAACAGCATTTACTCGACGGACGAGTTCCGTATGTTCTCGTTCAAGGTTCGACCTTGCTCGCGGGCCTACTCGCACGACTGGACCGAGTGCCCGTTTGTCCACCCGGGGGAGAACGCTCGGAGGCGGGACCCGCGCAAGTACCACTACAGCTGCGTGCCGTGTCCCGAGTTTCGAAAGGGGTCGTGCAGGCGGGGGGATATGTGTGAGTATGCGCATGGGGTTTTCGAGTGCTGGCTTCACCCGGCTCAGTACAGAACCCGACTGTGTAAAGACGGGCCAGGCTGCGGTCGACGGGTCTGCTTCTTTGCGCACGCGCAAGACGAGCTCCGCCCATTATACGTCTCGACTGGGTCAGCCGTGCCTTCCCCTCGCTCGAGCGTGGATTTCCCGTTTAACCCTCCGTCTCCGTTCACGCCGCCGATCTCCCCCTCGGCAGTGGCGGCTGCCGGAGGGCCGTGGGGAGCTCCGGCAAACTTGCCGCCGCCGCTGCACCTTCCGGGAAGCGGCGGCGGAGGCGGACTCCAGTCGAGCCGTTTGCGCTCGTCGCTGAATGCTCGGGACATTCACGACGAGCTGGATCTTTTGGGTAGGGCCTCGTTCGGGGGGAATGCTCTTATTATGCCTTCGAATCTGGAGGATGTGTTCTCGGCTGAGGGGGGCCTCCCGTCGTCTTCTTCTCCAAGATTTGCGGATTTCTCGCACAGTCAGTTCCAACAGAAGGTGCTTTCGCCGGTAAAGACAGCGCTGCTGTCGCCGAGAAATATCGATCACTCTTTAATGCTGTCGCCCCGGAAAATGGACCCGGGATCGCCGGCGAGTGCGCGGATGGCGATGCTTGCGCGGCAAGAAAACGAGCGGTTTCGAAGCCTGAGTTCGCGGGATCTTGGGTCGGGGGTGAACTGGTCGAATTGGGGCCCGGCAGGCCATAATGGGTCTTCGTCATCTGAGTGGGCCTTGGGGGGAATGGATCAAGAGGTGGGTGGGAGGCTGAAGAGGTCTTCGTCGTTCGATCTTATGAATGACGAGGAGGAGCCCGACCTGTCGTGGGTCCAGTCGCTAGTGAAGGAGTCTCCACAGGAGTTGAAGGAAAAATCGGTGGTGTCTCGTTTGGCTGGGAATGGTGGTGGAGCAAGTTCGTCGTCTGGTGGTGGGGCTGTGGTTTTGAGTGAGCAGATTGAGGAGCAATCGGTTTTAGGGGCGTGGCTCGAGCAAATGCAGCTCGACCAGCTGATGGCTCAGTGAAAGTTACCAGCTTTACATTTTGAGGTTTGTTTGGGTGCAAGCTTTTGAAAAGGGAACCCCATAGTGGGAAGGAAAGCTGTATTTCTATTCTTTTTTTTTTTAAAAAAAAAAATCNAAAAGAAAAAAAAAAAGAGAGAAAAATAAGGAAAAGAAAAGAAATCCTAGTTTAGAAAAAACTATTAATATATATCTTAATTGCTGAAATATTATGGTATTGTTCTAGCATCTTAGGTCCTTATTATTCCTAATTGGTTTCATTATAAATTTTAATGACTTATGGTAATCAAAAGAAGCATGTTGCAAGGCCTTACAGTGTATTCTGCTATAGTGGTTTAAGCGGCGTGCGATTTTCTTGTTGTTTTGGGGGAAAAAATAGTAGGAGGCATCGTGCTAGTTGCTGTACTTTAGATATTCGACTCTTTTTGCTGTGTGTTGTAACGTAGAATAAGTTTCATTCTAGGAGAAAAGGAGAAGACAAGAAGAACCCTATCTTGATCACTTGATGTTACGTGAAAGAAAGATAATCGAGGTTCGTTTCTTCGTTATCCCTTGTAAGCTGTGGAATTTCCTTCTTTATGCCAAAAAATTCTTGGATTTGCCTGTTTATATTCAGTTACTTTCTTGAATGCCCTTTTCACTTGCTGCGTTCCAAGTGGTGTGTTTTTGTAGTGTTGTTTTGTTCCCTTTTGTTATGGGGCATTGCCTTTCTTTATACTATATTCTTGATTTGTCTTGTGTAGCTATTGCTTTCTTGAATTTAACTCACATTTAATGGGGTTTAAGGGCTGTTTTTGATGAGTGGATTCTCCTCAAGTAGGCATGGAGTAAGTGGATTCCATATCTATAAAGTTTGATTTTGAGAGTCTATGATTGATTTGGTTTAGGATTAAGACTGAAAGAAAGAAAGAAAAAAACACACACACATACATTTATTTATAATAAAGTAAGGCTACTATTAGCTAGGTCCATAGACTTGCATACTTTTAAATTAAAATGTCAGTACTGAAAAAAACATAAGCAGAAGTATGACAGTTTATAGCATAAGTATGCATTTTGTTTAAAAAAGTACAGACGGTCGACATGTTTAACGGTTAGATTGCCTCACACAAGAATTTGTATTAGTTATATTTTTTCTCGGAACTTTTTATAGATCAGATGCATGCGTAAGGGATTTATGTTTTTCCTTTTTACATATTTTAATCTATTGAGGGGATGAAGAATTATGAGACTTTTAAGTTTTATAAGGAATTATGAGGCTTGATTTGGAAGGTATGATGATGAAATTTTAATGGCATGAAGCTTGATGATAATTTGTTTCATCCAACATTATGTTTTTTTGGATATGAAAGAAAAATAAATTTTAATGGTGATATAATTATATATGCGTGCATTTGAATAGGGTTTGTGGGTATTGAGATTTGAGGACTTTATCTAAAGTGACACTTGAGACTATTTTGAAGTTCATTTTGATCTTATTCTTGACTATAGTATTGTTTGAATTCATATTTCAGTCCACTGTCAAAGTTAATTAATTAAAGTTTTGGAATTTTTAGTAAAATAGTATCCTTTATTCATTGCTATTTATTAGTTAATTAATTAAAGTTTTGGAATTTTTATTGCTATCTAAAGTTGGAAATATAAAGGTGGGGAGATGATGAGATGGGTGTCATTTGTCTTTGAAACTTGTCTCATACAAATGACAATTTGTCATTTTTTTCCCTTTGTGACCTAATAAGGGACAAGGCGCAATAATAATAATAATAATAATAATAAAGATAAAAGGGTCTAATTTAAAAACTTTATTTAAAAATACAATATTTGAGACAACCTAACAGTGAGATTACTGACTCGTCATATGTTTCAAATTAAAATTTATATTTATGTTGTGAAATGTTATATTTTTTTATATTATTTTTAAAGTTATACATATTTGTTGAAAAAAAGTATATTTGTATAGTTATTTATTATAAATAATATGACAAACATTGTGTTAACTAATATATCCAAAAGAGAATTGCTGAAAAGAATTAAGTTCCATTATTCGGTTTCCTTTGTTTAATTCTTCCAAAGGAATATTTACGAAGAAAATAGTGATAATGGTATTGATGTGAATGGGTGGGATTTATCAACAAGGCATTGGAATCTTAACTTACGTTTTATGCATTTGAAATCCCCGAAAACCCTTGCATATGAGCTTACTTAAAAGAACAATACAACCTGGGATTTAAGTATAACAATTTAATTTTCTTTTAGGTTCTTTTTCTCGTGCCAAAAAATTCCCAATAAAAATAAAAAGGCTTTAAGGAATTTTTTGCTGATCAAATTTACTGGTACAATTTTAATTAATAGCACCAAACTATATTTGTATATTTTTTTTTAATATATACTGTTTTAAGTGATTAATTAACCATTATTGACTTTTCAATTTGGAGAATAAATGATGAAACCGAAAGGATAACAAGCAACAAATATGTGAAATATTCATCATCTTTCGGTGCAGAGGGACCTTTTTGTTTTTTCTTTGTCCAATCAATATTATTTTGAATTAATTATGCATGAGAAAATGACATATTAAGGGTGAATTAATAGTTAAGTTTTGACTTACTTTTCACTTTTCAAAAACTGGGAAAAAGGGGGCAAATGCAATAAGATAGCCTTTCATTGTTCATTTGTCAATGTCACTTTGAATAACCTCTCATTCCAATTTATCAGTTTTAATTTGTGAAGGAAATTTATTCTAACATAAATTTTATTGGAAATAATTTTAGTAGATAATAAGAATTATAATTAGGTTATAATATTTACGGATATTGTTCGGTTTGACAATTAACGAAAAGCTGATTGAATTAACAGTTTAGACTAGCTAATTGGATTAACTTATTACATAAAGTGTTTGGTAAAGAATTAGCATGCGTAAAAACAACAAGTTTTACAATTCTCTATCCCAAAAAACATCAATTTCAAGCCTTTTCAAAATTAACTTTTGTATCTAAAATGTTATTTCAAACCTCAAATTACCAAACAATTAAATCAGGGGTTTTGACTGGTCTAATATCTAATTTAACCTTTCGTAATGGAATATTCATATTTCACAAATGTGCAGAGCTTGAAATATGATAATTGCGGGTGTGTATTTTGTTTGTATCGAGCTTGAATATCTTTATATGTTTCAAATATTGAACAAAAATGCTACAAGATTGACTCATATGTAAATAGGTAGGTGGCCAAAAACACCTACATATGCATAATTAATAATAACTATCTACAGAAAATGTTTTCATATATTATTGTATTAGTGCATCCAATCCTGAAATTATACAAGTCAGACTTAATAATTAAGGGAAAAAGAAGCATTTATACAGAATGAGTTGCAATAAAATAAATTAAACATCTTAATCCCAAAATCTGTACCTTTNAAAAATGCCATCAAGACAAAATGTTAGGTAGACATTAATTCTAAATATGGTGGTGCCTCGTGTTGACCTTTTTTATAGTTTTATCATTTTAAAATAGATTTTTCATATTTTTGTACAGGCAAAGCAGCAATTATTATCCTATTCTAGGTACATTTGCAAAAAAAGTTGCAAATTCTACAAGAGGAGTTATTTTCCCTGCTTGTGTTTATTTGTATTTTGTAGTAGATAAAATGTATCACAGTCTATTTTTCTAATATTAATATAATTATACAACACACCATGATTTCAATTTTTGGTACCATTAGTTGCAAGTAACAATCAAATTATTAGATTGCTAAAATCAACTAAAAACCAAAATTAATGTACAATTATTTTCTGAACTTTAGTTTAAGGAATTGACCCTCGCCTAATTTTGTTCATGGTTTTTTAAGAACATTACATCGCTTACCTCTGAATTTTATTTTATTTGTGTATTTATAAAGGTTTTTTTTGGTTTAATGCAAATATATTATTTTTTTTAGGAAAAATTGCACCTAATATCACGGTATTTGGCGAATTTGCATTTTAAAATTTTAATTTCTTGCATACTTAGGCTCATAGTTTTTATTTTTATTTTTTTTTGACAAATCAGCTCACGAATTAGAAAAACCTATCGCTAAAGAGCTGACGTGTCCGTAGAATTTCCACGTAGCTGCTGATGTGTACGGGCCGGTAGCTTTCATTTGTCACGTCGGGAAAAAACAATGTCGTTTCTTTACCAAAGAAACCCTACAAAGCATTTACGCCCCGAAGAACACTAGCTAGCATTTACGCCCCAAAGAATACTTGTTGACGATAATCAAAACCTTTCAAGAAAAAAAGTTCGGAGTCCCTGTACAACAACCGACTACTTGTATTATAATTAAAATTTTTAAATTCCACAATTCAATTAATTAAAAATAGGGAACGAAACGACGTCCTTTTGTTCTGACGTGGGAAACAAAATCAGACGAGCCGTACACATCAGTAGCTACATGAAAATTTTATAGACACATCAGCCTTTACGTGACACGGTTTTCAAATTCATGAACTAATTTGCAAAAAAGTGAAAGTAACAATATGTGTAAAAGTTGAAATGTCGTGATTAAAATGTAAATTCGCCAAACCTCATGATATTAGGTATAACTTTGTGTAACTTTTTATTGTTTTTATGGGTGATTGATTTGTGGTTTAACTTTGTGCGATTGATTATGAAAAACGGGGGTTGACAGGTGTGGTCTCACGGACGAAGCGCACTAAATTAGGGAAGTCAAATGAAGTTCAAATGAGATTCCATCTCAAAACTAAATTTGGTGCGCTTCGTCTGTGGGAGTCAACCCCCGTTTGTCAGATTGCTAAATTGCATTATTTTTTTTGTTGGTTATAACTCGTTTACGAATAATTATTTTGAGTCGTATTATTACAAAATAATAATAAAACACATGTAATAAATTTTGTTTCCCCTCAGCGTTATATGTATTGGGCCCAGTAAATTCTAATATATCAGACCCAATAATAAATTTCACTTTGTGCATGTCAGAACAAAACCTCAATTCTTCTTATCTTGTTTTTATTATTTATTTTTATTTGATTTTTTAAAAATGATTTAATCTGTATCATTGGCTTCTCTCACTAAGATCCAACGGTTAATTTGGTGAGGGGACAACGAAAAATATAATTAAAAAAAAATTACGACAATAACAACATGGATCGAGGTTTCACACATTTTTTTTTATAATGAATAATATAAAGAATTATACGTATACGTATGTTCGACAAGAAGAAAATGTTCGAGTTTTCACGCATTTTTTTATAATGAATAAAGAATTATACATATATTCGAAATACAACAATTATTATACAAAATCTGTATTTTTGTAAAGCATTTGTGGGAAGCAATAACTCAAGTGATCAGCCACTGTAAAAGCTCCATGGTCCTCTTCTTGTCCCTATCCTGTACATATATATATGCAAACATTAAAAATTCTGTTATAATTTTTCATAGCAAAACACAAATTCCTAATATGTCAAGTGTTACAATGTAATACTGAAAAATAACTCCATTTTTGTCCCTTTGAATTGTAGTTTTCTTGCAAATCATCACTTTACCAGATTCTTCAATGTTATACTATACATACCTTAAAAATCCTGCAACTGCTCGTAAACTCATGAAAATCGATAACGCGAACCATATACCGACAAAACCATTAGTCGACGACAGTAAGAACAAGCACACGACACTTATAAATGAGACCAAAACCTGTAAGAAAAGATGGAGCAAGATTGATCACACAAGTTAAAGCTCTACACTTCGAATTCAGAACAAAATCGAGCTTTTTTAGATATGTCATTTGTCAAATTAAACTTGCCATAGAGTAGGCAGAATAACCAAAATCCGATGCTCCATAATTCAATCCATCGATAACGAAAGCCAGTGAGTTGACCGGTTGAGTCAAGGCCACAAACTATAAATATGAATGCATTTATCAGCAACGGTTAAGCTAAATGCAGGGCCATAATCCATATATATATGGAATGGAATAAAAAGAAAATGATAAAGAAGTTCAGAGATTTCATTACCGGGATGCCTAATTTTATGAGGCGAAGAACATTCGTATCGGTCGTGAAGAAATTTGATGAAAATTGCAATGTAATGGCAACAAAAGTACAGAGAATGAGACCAAGAACTACACCCAACTGCATGTAAATGAACATAAAAACTTAAGAAAAAATAGATAAATTTGGATTGGAATTTGCTGGAGTAAGTAAATTCGCAAGTAAAATGCAAGCGTACCTGTAATACGCGAGAAGTTGTAAGAACGACCTTTTCATAATCGTGCCTTGCAAATGCATTCGCCAGAATCGCCTGCAGAAAGGTTTCTAATGTCTATAATACAAACACCTTTGGAGGACACACTTTTT